GAATGCTTCATGCAACTCGATTCCATAAATTCAACCCAGAGACATATTATGGCGAAAATTCACATCTTAATCTAAACCCGAAAAGAACTATCCTTTGGCCGACAAAAGAATCACCATCATCATCGTGAACTGAACAAGTTTCTGGGCAAGGCCTTCGGATCGAGCTCGATTCCTCCTCTCAGAGAACCGCATCTCTCCTCCGTTAACCTGTGCTCCGGCACTTGATGCGAGAACCTCAGGAGCTCCGATATCGGAAACGTCTTTCTCACCTCACCATCTCCTCTCTCCACTGCTTCCTTGAATACCGTATCGAACCCCTTTACACGTTCCAACAGCATAACCTCAATCTCAGTCTCGTTCACATCGAGCACTTCCACAACGTCATATTCCCACTCCTTCAAGTCCGACACCTTGATACGGTCACTCCATTTCCTGTACATCGCCCATACTTGTCCGTTCTTCGGGATGATAGTGATCTCGATTCCTTTCCCCGATTCTATCTGATGCGAGAGAGCAGAGACATCGGTAAGAGTGTGTAAAGGGGTCTTTAATCTGAAAGTGCCGCAGCAGATGGGCATTTTTCTGTCACGCCACTCCTTGACTTTTGCCGGTAATGATTTTGACTCCAGCCAGCATATCTGCAGTTTGCGCAAGGAAACTTTCTCAATCTTGGCGTAGTATTTGGGGAAGCCATCTTCTTTGCTGTACAATGACCATGTCTGGCCGACTTTGAACTTTCCCTTTAATTTATCAGCTTCAAAATTTTTGAAACGGGTTTTAGGAAAGACGATACAGTCTGAGTTTGAAGCTGAAGGCCGATTATCCAGTGTTGTTGGTGTCTGTTTTGACTCCACTGGCGCTGCTGGTGCATTTGAAGGGACGGAAACAGATATCCCTTCAGTATTTAGCGGTAACGCAGCCGGGTCGAGCTCATAAGAACCTTCCGGCACCCCTTTCCTTTCTTTCCCCGTCAATCTGAATGATGGAACACTGTGAGAGAATCGATACAATTCATGAGGTAGAATCTGAAGTACGTCTGATCCGCTCTTCTCCGCCCGACAGAAAACACACGAAAATCCTTTCAATTTATACAGTAGTGCAACAGATACACCGGCTGCTTCAGAATACTCTGATAAGACCTCGACAAATTTGTACTCATACTGACGGTGAGAATTCGGGTAAGCAGACCAGCTGATATCCCAGTTCTTGAAGATAGACCATGTCTCTCCTTTTCGAGGTAATACCCTGTAAGAAGGAGGCTTCTTGTTTCGTTCTACGTGGTGAAGCACATGAGAGAACATGAGACTATCCACCGTGTTTTCAGTGGCCCCACAACTGAACTTACCAACAGTAATAGGCAACTGTGCATTAACCCATGAAATTCCATTGTCATCATCCGGATCTGCCTCAAGCCATGTGATGCTAAGCTTAAATCCGGAAGTAAAAACCTTTTTGATGCAAGCATAAAACCGAGGCATTCCATCGTGGGTATCATAAACAGCCCAGATCTGGCCAACCACAAAGTTTCCTTCTTTCCTCAATGCATCAAAGTCATTGAAATCTGGATCTGGATATTCCAGAAGTTTTGGCTCTTCTAAACTTTCCGAACTTGAACCCTTCTTAGAGTCACGAGAAACGGAGATTTTCTCAACTTCATGGTACTCGGAGTTTCCCGCAGAAGCTCCCGCTTGGCAATTTTCTTTTTCTTTCGACTTCTTGCTCCTGTTTTTACCATTTGGCAAGGTTTCACTAGAAGAACCATCCTTCTCACACGATTGCTTTTGGGATCCTGACTCTTCTTTCCCTTCTGCATCTCCATTTTCCTTGGATCCTTCTTGATTGAGGTTTTCAAAGTTGCCATCATCGTCGCTTACATTTTCATTATACGAAACCTGACGCTTGTTTCGCACAGATCTCCGAGGCTGCTGTCCCCCAACAGACCCCAAACCTTGTCCAGCTACAACATCACCGTTCTCCTCGATTCTATCTTCCTCAGAATCACTGCTACTTTCATTGTCAGAACTTTCACTGGATTCGACTACTTTCTTTCTCTTTCTAATCCTATTGACGTTCCCAGCACCAACCTTAACAGTACAACCAGAAACAGGTATGTCTTTTACAGAGCAATACGAGGAGGATGTCTGTGGAAGCTTCTGCTCTACATTGAACGGATTCTGATTTGGAAAATTTTTCTGTTCGGGAAAACCATAAGTTGCTTGGCCCATGCCTTTCGCAGTACATCCCGACATTGGGAAACTCTCCTTTCTAAAAAAATGTAACGTAGAATCCTCTGGATGCTTCTGCCTAGCATTGCAAGTTCCTTGAGTTGGAACACTGTTCTGTTGGGGAAAGCGGAAAGTTGTTTGCAATGAGCTTTTGGCCCCGGGAGCACCTTGTCCAGGGACTTCATAAGTTGTAAACTGTCTTTTGCAATTAAGACAAGTGACATTTTTGTTGATATGTGCTCTCGCATATTCATACTTCATATGACAAAACTGGCATGCGGTCCAAAAGCTTCTACTACAGAAACCAGACGGTTGAGCTTGAGCTTTTTGCTTCTGTTGCTGGTTCTCAGGTCTGAATCCTGTGAAGTTGTCCTCATTATTATGATTTGTCCAGAAAACAGGCTGAGTGTTATATGTCGGGGCCTGTTGCGGACGATATGCCGGTGCTGGTGCTTGTGCAGGTCTGTTCATGACTCTGCGTTTCATGTCATGGAGTGACCTTTTTTCTTTGTCCAAGAGTATTCTCTGAGCCTCACCAATCAGTTTAAAAGCAGCTTCTGCACCCGGGAGTTTATTTTTGTCGGGGTGAAGCAGAAATGCGAGTTTCTTGTACTGTTTCTTGATCGAAATATCATCTGCCTTTTGCTCAACCTGAAGAATGCCATACCAGTCCATCTCATTACCAGACAGCTTCTCTGCAGCAACACAGTGCACATCACACACCATCATCATGTGAGAGATGTTCTCCAGGCTGCTGTCTAGCTTTTGAGCCCTCAACACAAGTCTACGAGCTGCAGTGAAATCTGCCTTTTTCATTATTCCCTCGGCTATGTCTTTGGCCCTAAGCGCCTCGTCTCTGTTGATGCTCATTTTCACCAAGAACCAGTAAAGGACACAGACCAATGAAACTCCAAACTCAATGAAGGCCCCAGTTCATTCGCCCTAACCCAAGATGAAGACAATGGCAGGCTGCTCAATTCGGCCTCTGGTCGGTTCCTCTAAAAAAACATCAATTCCGGTTTAGATAATTTATCTGCAGAGAGCTACCATGAGAAACAAGAACCAGTTTTGTTTTGCGAGGAAACTCATACAAGTTAAGTACTACAACCACGAATTCTCGGAGGATTGTCAGGATAACCATGGATACACAGAGCCATACATATATATACTTCAAGAGCAAAGCAGATATATACATGTAATACATACCTACATATAAATATATGCATAAGATGGAGGATTTTGGCATCTGAGCAAGCAGATATTCAAAATCCCAGAATAAAAAGGCGAAACCTTTAACCCAATTATAAAAGAAGAAAAAAAAAGAAAGACAACTTGAACAACAGTCAGATTCAAACTTGAAGAACAAAAAACCAAAACCCTAGACATGAGCCTGCATCGAGTGAAGCCCCAGAGTCAGATTCAATCTAGAATCTCAAATAACAAAAAACAAGAGTTCCGCGAAAGAGACACGAACGCAAAACATTCAAACAGGTGAACCAAAAAAAAAAACAGGAAAGCCTGCGAAAAATTGCGCCAAAAGGGAGGCAAATCCGAGTGTAAGGAAGAACAGGAGAGTCACTCTAAACAGTCTCGCAAACAGAACTAGTAAATCACAAACTAGAGAGAAAACGGCGCTCACCGAGATTTCGGTGAAGAGCGAGACGAAGACGAACGGAGGAGAGAAATTGCTCCGGCGAGGAAGCTCACGTCCATGCGGTACAAACCATTCGGACTCGAATTTCTCTCTTCCACACTGGAAAAAAAAAACACCATCAACCATTTTATACAGTCCTCGTGATGTTCTTGTAATTCCCTGCAAATTCGAGGTTATTTAGAACGTATATTTTCTTATATTTAAATTCAAGTCCCCCAACTTTTTCAAAATTAATTTAGTAACGATGACATATTATACGTAATGTTAAAATAAAATTTGTTTAATGTAATTGTCCGTAATGTTAAATATTATGAACTCAACAATGACTAAAGAATTGTTTCATCCAAAAGTTTACATGGATTGTGTATCCAAATTTTTCGATATATCTAATCTCGATTTCGCTGAGATACTTGTGGAATAAACAATGACCCTAGAAACGATGAGGTTAGGGAATGTTTCGATATTCATTATGTTTTAGTTAAAATCGGGCATAATATTATTAGCAAACGAAATCTTTTAATTATCTCTTAAACATATTTTTTGAAATATAAATATCTTATAGTTATATAATATTTACTATGTTTTAATTGGATATTAGAATATTAGCTATTGATTGCCTCTGTAAAATAGGTTGGCCCGATCTAACCCAATTCACCTCGTTTTGATCTGAAAAATTTTTAATCCAATCTAGTCTAATACGTTTTTTAATGAGCCAAAAATAGACCAGACTAACCTAGATCGCTTTAGCCCGCGAGTCAAACGAACTGATCTACAGATAAAATTTATATATTAAAAATATTTAAAACATATTTAAAATATAATAAAAATTTAAAATTTTAAAGAAAACAAAATAAATCTATAATAAAAATATAATTTATATATAAAAATATTAAATTTAAAAAAAATTGTCCGTAAGTCAACCCATAAACTCTGTCACGAGTTCGGTTTGTGACAGACTAGTTCGTATGGTTCGTTTTTTTCTGGACTCAAATATTTTAAACCCAACTTGAAAAAATATGGGTTAGCTCGCGACTCATCCTGTGAACGGATTCGGTTTACGCCTCTAATTGTCCTTGATAATTGGGTTATTTAGTGAAGTAATTCACTTTTGTTGTCCTTATTATTGCAAAATCCAAACTTCCAAACATTTTTAAATGAAATTTATTGACAATTGAAATGGCATTTATATCCTTAATAAACTCTATTTGTTTAGAATATCCTTTTACCCTTAAGGGTATTATCGTCTTTGATTGACAAAAAAAGTTTCATAAAGGATATAAACGTCTTTCAATACTTTAAAAAGTTCATCTATGAGTCCTTTTATTTTGTCTTATTTACGAAATAGGGCTCAATCTTTGCAAAATCATATTTTTTATCTTTTTTTCAAGTATGGTTTGGAGTCTTGGACTGAGAGTTTTTTTTTATCTGATTTCATAGACGAGTTTAAGTACGAGGTGTGCGGATGGTAAAAAAACCATATTTATAGATACCGAGATTGACCTAGGGTTAATGTTTGATCGTTCTGATGTCTCCCTCCCCCGTCCTTGGGAAACATCTATCCGTCCCTTGCCTCTTTACTCGCATTGTCCTCTTTCGTTCCTCCCCCCGTCTCCTACTCTTCCGCATCGTTTCTCCACCTTTTCTCACCGGCCCTCATATTTCTCGGATATCTCGACATTGCCCTCATTCGTTCTTCGCGTCGTCTTTCTCTCTTTTATCGCCTCGCCTTCTTTGGATGTCGCGGCCTTGTCCTCCTCCGCTCCTCACATCGCGTTCTCTCTTTTTCTCACCTCGCCCTCGCCGTCCCCTACTCAAATCCGGATGCCCTCGTATTTGTGACAAGTCGCGGACAACGAACAACGGTACCCAAACAATTCAGGTTTGAATAATAACGTTAAGATAATGAATTTGATATAAAAATCGAATATGAATGGTTCATAAAAAAACTGAACTCTAAATAAACCAAATCACATATCAAAAGATTTCAAAGAACATATACACATATACCGGAGGAGGAAATATTGCTAAATAGTTTCCGATTCACCGACCAATCAGGCAATTGCTACGTGGAAAAGATTGAGCTTTGATTCCAACATTTCTATATTATGCTAAAAGCTACTCCATGCTTCTCTTCATTACCATAAATATTACGTACAAATATAAATTACAACCTCCTTCCTTCACGCGGCTTGCATCGCCGCCGTACCAGTCGGCGAACCTACGCTTGCGGCAACTCCCTCCTTCTCCGCCGGAAGATCATCCGCTGGCAACTCCATTTGGCTCAGGCTCCTCACGAACTCCGTGAACGATGGAAAATGCTCCGGCGAGAAGAAATACGCTCCCATTCTCTGGTATGTGAACAGATCGATCGCCGTATTCTCCTCCCTTAGATTCTCAGCGATCCTATTGAACCCGTCGGGGACAGGGTCGGACGAGTTTTGCCCTGAAACCACAACTCTGAACTTCTTGCACGACGTCTTCACGTGGGCAAGCAACGACTCGGGGCTCGAGAGAGATTCCGCGGGCTGGTGCGCATCGGACAAGTCCATTCCCGGTATAATCATTCCGCAAGAGTTCTTTGCAAACAACTCTGATACCACCTCGTACCCATCTCGGTTACCCGTGCCATAGAATCCGGCGGTTAACTCGGACGGTCGGGAACGTAGCTTGTGCCAAGAATGCAAGAGAGGGAGCTTCCCACTCAGAGCCACTCCAGTGCCATTGAAGGTGGAGGATGCGAGAGAGAGGACGCGATCTGTGTGCGAGACGAGTAGGGAAGAGTACCAGGAGAGGAAAAAATGGCCATAGACGGATTCCCAAGAGCCGCCATCTTTGAAGAAGGTCGAAGAGTGAGGTGGCTGGTCGTAAGTGGGAGCGTAGTGTGGGCCGCCGAGTCCCCACAGGG